CCGGTGACGCAGGTCACGCGCCACCGTAGGTTAAAGATTTACCTGCTTTATTTTATTTTATTTTTTTAATACTTTTTGTGAAAATGAGACTGATACGATGATTAGGGTGCAGTGTACATTAACACAAAAAAATGTGTTACTAACATGCACAAAGACACACAAATGGTTGTTTGTTTTTTTTCTCCTCTACACCCCTTGCGATCGACTTGGGACTAGTCCACGATCTACCGGTCAATCGCGATCGACGTAATGGGCACCCCTACTTTAGAAGTTTCCCTCCACCAGCACACCCGAATCAACCGATGAGCTCATCAGCAAACTCTCCAGAAACCTGATAATGATCCTGATTATTTGAGTCTGATATGTTGAAGGAGGGACCGGATGTGGACACCCCTGATATAATGTTTTTATGTTCAGGGGTGAGCTACATCCCTGAAAAGGTTTTGGCCCATCCGGGGGAGAACATAAGTCTTTACTGTGTGTTCAACGACCACAGCATCAATGCCAACTCTGCTGTGTGGATGCGGAACTTGGAACAGCCTCTGTCTTCCAGCCAGTATCACTCAGTCAACCAACGGGTACGGGTTCAAGCTTTCCTTCTTTAAATGGCTGTTGTATATTTCCAAACCGTTGTCCTCACAAACTGTTGTCCGAACCAGGTCAGCCACATCACAATACAGCCGTCAGACTCAGGGATGTATGAGCTGCTACAGTGTAGGGCAACAAAGGAGTGGCCCATCCCTTACAGCATCATCTATGTAGAAGGTAAGCTGTCGTCATAAACGACAGAAAAATCATCTACATTTAAAAAAAAAACAAAACAAAACAAAGCCATCACCGCTGTAACTTTGAAAAAGACGTATGTCCATTTTTATTTAATTTTTTTTACGTTAATGGGAGGTCTGCATTCAGCTTCAACATCTGACGAGTTCCTACATGACTGGTGAAAAAGCGTCTTATGACATCATGTACATAAAACATATCTCAGTGTTGATGTTGGACTTGTCAGTCAAAATGCACGTATGTCCATTGAACGCCTTTCCCCAACAAAAAAACATCCCGTTGTCTGCTCGCACGGATCCGCCTACACTTCCTCCTCCAGTGGAACGAAGCAGACATCTTTTGATGCTAAGGTAAAGTTGGTCAATATTCTTCGTCTTTGTAAATTGCTTTTTTGCTGCTGTCAACCTCTTGTAATGCTATCTTGATGTCAAATAATATGCCATGTCCGCAATGTAAATACAGCCAGCATTTACTTTTTAATACACGCCCAGGTCAGCCATTACTGTAGTCAATGCCCACAACTGTGTTGTTTACGTGTTCATTCTGAGCAACTAAATGTTTCTCTTTTTCAACCCACAAAAAGACCAATGTGATAAATCTGTTGTGCATTCAAGGCTGGGAACATTGACGCTGCCACATGGGACGCGCACTGCCCATTAAAGACAAAACAGACCACCAAACACATGGACAAAACAGAGGCAGGCGAAAAGAACATTTTGTGAATGATCTGCTATGTCCCAAGCTTCAAGCCTCTGTTCTACGTTACAAGACCAAGTTCAGTGTGAAAGCAGATGATGCAAAAAAAGTACCTGTGGCACGAAAGTGAAGCTGGTCTTGCCTTGTGGATGACCTTGAAGCACACCTATCGTATTCTGAGTCCCTTATCTGGAGCCTTGGATGTGGCTTTCAAAGACGGAATCCCATTTTGAGCGATGCCCTCCTCAAGTTTGTGACTTCGCAGAAGACAGTGACATGCAAGTATCTTGAAAGAGGACAACACACAAATGCGGTGTTATTCAACGCATCGTGTGACAGAGAGAGGGAACTGAGGCACGGAGACAGGCATGTTCCAGCCAGTTACACTGCAGTTATCCGGGGTGCTCGCTCTCCTCCCAGGCCTTAACAAGTGAAGCACTTGGACAACACTTTTTTAAAGGTATTTAATTTATTATTTTTAATTGATTCATTCTTAGCTAATTGCTTTCCTGCTACGTATTTCACACACAAGCTAATAACTTTATGTACACCGCTTAGATCTGACAGTCCTTTCTTGAAATACACATCACATCACTTGTCCACTGAATGTCTTTTTTGTCTCTTCTGGATATAAGGTATCAGATGGATGAAACAACGGACTATAAACTGTGCCACTCAAGAGGACTGGGAACTTGTCCCTTAGGAGGAAGGAGAGCACAAATGTGACCAGACTGTACACATCTAAGAAAAAAAACGACACAGCTCAAATTCAATCATCTTCAATAACTGAGGAAGGGGTTGTTCTCCCAGATTTCAACTCCTTCTATGATGGTCTTCACCATGCATAATTGCTTTATGTCAGACATGTTCAGAATTTTATTAAAGTATTATTTATTCAAAATATCCATATTATGTGTATGCTTATCTGTTCTAATTGTACTTTTGTGTTCTTATCTTGTGTTTGAAATTTGACCTGTTATAGGTGACAAAGAGGGAAGAAAGAGTGAAAATCGACTGGGAAATTTTGATATGGTAGTTTATTACATGTGTATCAAATTATCCATCATGAATAAATTCATTAATGTTTATTAAAACAACAAAGCAATCATAACTTTGCCCCTCAACAAGGCATCAATTAATGAATTTATTCCTAACTGATGCCATTAATGTTGTAATCAATCTTAGCGTCATTAGTACTTATTATTGATCAAATTAATAGTATTTGTGTTGATTAATGAACTGGTGTGAATCTCCGAATAACACTTGGTAATTGTTAAATGTTCATCTTATTGTTAAGTTTGGGTAACATCAGAGGCTCTACTCTTGAATAGAGTCAATAGTCATCTGGCTCACAGTTCTGAGTTTAGGAGTTCAAATCCAGGCGCTCGTTTTCCTGTGTAGCGTTTGAATGTTGTCGCAATGCTTCCGTGACTTTTCTTTGCTTGTCGGGTCCACCCGCTCTCTTCCACATTTCAAAAGTCTACATATTAGGTTCATTGAAGACTTTTTGCCTTGCAACTGGCTGGTGACCAGTTCAGGGCGTACCCCGCGTCTCGCCTAAAGTCAGGTGGGGTAGCCTAAAAGCACATCTAATGAGGAAAAGAGTATTAAAAAAATGGCTGAATGTTATGTAATATGAATGTAGTTATTGTTCTCCTGCTTTCATCACTGAAAGTGTTTGTTCCGTCTTCCTGCTTTTGACAAAGGCAGGAAAGAGAGTGGAGACCTGTGACACTGTGAACTTGAGTATCACATTGAAGTATGGGCTCTTCTCGTTTTCATTTTCCTTACACTACAATATTTGCATCTCTGTGTTTTTGCAGGGGCCTCGATTGACATCAAATGTGAAACCAGTGGTGACATTGACGTGATGGACTGTAGCTGGAACAACACTTGGTGGATCAAACCCAAATTCCAATACGCGTAGGTCATGATTCTTATTCAGGAGCTGTTGACTTTGGAGTGCCCTCACTTGTCCTCATGTTCATGAATACTCAAATCAGTCCTTGTTATTATGCGCGACCTCACTGAACACAGCGTACTGAACACATGCTATTTTGGGTCACACCCTCAAAATACATGTGTCCAATCCTGCACAGCAAGAGACCGCCAGGAAGTTGCTCAATGTTTTTTTTTTTTTTTTTCCTCTTTACTTTTCCTTTCTTAACCTCGGAGCAATATATGAAGTGAAGAGTAAAACTTAATAGCTAGCATTTCTGTCGAGACATGTTTTCTAACAGTTGTGCCGCACTTTTACGTCTGTCTTCCAAGTTCTTATTGTAATATAGTCAAACTACAGTTCATTTGCATTCATGATTACAATCCCCCCCCCTCACACCCCCATGGAATAATTGACAGTAAACATTCAAAAAAGGATTTCAAATGTGGGATGTCATGTTTGCAAAGTTTTAATGAAAAATGTGATAGCTACCCTAAAAATGATGAATGTCTTATCCACAGATGGACTGACCTACCCTGTGATGTGATGGAGGAGAGAGAGAAAAAGGGGGAGGAAGTTGGAGAGCTGGGGCCTGACTGTCTTCCGGTCCGATCCAAGCAACAAGCCTGCACCATCCAGGACATACGGAGGAATTGCTACAAACTGTGGCTAGAGATGCTTTCCCATCAAGGCCCTTTCAGATCCAAACACATCTACATATCACCTCTAGATCATGGTAAGTAACCTGGATGTCAAATCTCTTGACAATACACATTCATGAAAAGCCATCAAGGTTTCAGAACCAACCACCACTGCAAACCAAAAGAAGGCAGCAGCAATCCAATACAGCAGAGGAGAGACAAATTGATTTTTTGGGTGGTATCTTTTTAAAAATACTGTATGCATTTTAAACTCCCCAATATTTTTTACTCTCACGTCAGCAAAATATTAAACACAGCAAACTGCAACGCCAGTGTTGAATTCTGGCAGTGCCAGTCAAAAGTGAATATTATTTTTGAAAAGCAAAATATTTGAAACAACTCCCGTATTGAATAACATTACAATATATTGTGCAAGAGGTCTTAATGTTGTGGCTCATCACTGTAGAACGACCATTTTCAAATGGTGGACCGCGGTTCGCATCCGGAACCAGTCTAGGTCTCATAAAAGAAATCAAGCCAGTTGGTGCATTGACACTGTCCCATTTTTTTTTTTGTTTTGTTTTTTTTCTCACATACGTGTATGTCGCTGTATTCGGTATTCGAATAGCTCTTGTTGTCATCATAAGAATCCAATTAAACCGTTTGTGTAAAGACATTTACGGAACTGAAGACATAGGATGCGGCATGGCCTCTTCCTAACCAAAGTTGACTCAGAAAACATAGTTTTAAAGAGTGAATGGACGGCCCACTGCTTTTCTATTCTCCCGGAAGCCAGCTCTATCATTGTGTCTTATATGTTGGTTTTTAATAAGGAGAGGTCAGAACTCGCAAGATAACCGAACAGGGAGCTCTGGATGACAAGCCAGCAAAGAGCAAATGAATGTTCGCTCTGGATAGCGTGGATTTTGAGGCAACGTAAATGCGCCTTTAGGAACGTTTCAGTCATAAAGGAATGTGACAATGCAGCTGCAGACGTTAGTTGACGGTAAACCTCTTTTTTTTTCCTGATTTACTTTAAGGTTTGGCTTAATTTGACTGTTTTGTGTTACTTAAAATTTCGTATGAGATGCCTGTGCTGCTTTTTCATAAAATTGTTTGCCAGCCTTTCTGCATTCCTCATTGCACCCCATAGCCAGAAAGGAATCTGCTGTATGCAGTCAAGTGAAATGAGACACAAATACATACAGTATATCGGGGAAACTCTTTTGAGGACAAAAATGATAGAGAAAGACGGATGTTATGATAGAGTGAGAGAAGTGATCTACGTGAAGGTGGTAAGGCCATCTCTAAAAAAGAGGTGGCTGACGACACCACCTATCCCCCACATACCATGCTGTCTTTTAAACATTCCCAAGAGATTCAATGATTTCGCCTCTGACCAAAAAAAAAAAAAAAAGTCCCCTGTGATTTTCCACCCAACAATTTATTGACCAACAGAGGCTTCTCATGTCCGCAAGGCATCTTAACGACGGTCATTTGCATCCCAAAAAATATTAGTGATGTGAGGAAGCCACAAAATTAAAAGTAAAAACGCCACCGCCTGTAGAAGGTTCATCGTAGTTCATAATGCTTGCACCACCCCCCTAAAAAAAACAACTCCAATGTCCTTCACATTACTTTGGATCGATTGAGCTATACGGAATCTTTTTAGCTGCTTTTTGTCTCTTACACACAGACACTCACTATATAATATCATGGCAAAATCACGAAAATGTAATATTGTTTTTATTATTGATGACAGAGGCTGTACACAATAAAATAGTAATAGGCTACACCCAGATGCACGCACGCACATGCAAACACAGCAACCACAGGCATGTCTAACCAAAGGAAATTAATAAATACATATTTTTTTAATTCTGGCTAACTGCAGAAAAACACCACTCCATGAGTGTAGCAGCAGTTTTTTTTACACTGCAGAAAATACAAAATCGAGCCCGACACTGACCAGGGGCCTATTTCACAGAGGCTTTAACGAACTCTGTGTCAAATGCTGAACTCTGAATTGATCTGCTCTGAGATAGGAAACTCTGAGTTTGTGATTCCAAAACTGCGGATTTGAATCAGTTCAATCAACTCTGAGTGTCTTCAACTGGAGTTAAGTGCGTGCACCACAGCCATAAAAAGCCAGGATCAATGAATCTCCGATTTGACGAGTCACCACGGCAACAGCAAGAGGCAGTTTGCGCTTTTCACCCCACTAGAATTGGGAGTTTGAACAGGAAGAACTGCTTGGCCGCTCGGTCGGGTCAATGCATAACTTTCAATGCGGTCCTTTGTAAACACGATAACGTGGCAGGGGAAAGCTGTGGTCTAGAAATTGATTTCATTTAGGTGCAATCCTGCGGGGTTTACATGCGCTTGGCTACAGCTGAAAATGAAATATAAAAACATTGTTCAAACAGGTAAAACACACTTTTCTGACCGCCCTGTATACAGTTGTATAACCAGCCTATTTCTGGGTAGAACTGGTACAATCGAAGAGGGTCTTAGGACAGACAGTCTAGTTGCGATCGATTCAATGCCTTGAGAATGAACATCGTCTGTTCCTCCACTGTCTGACTTGCAGTAAAGCCTCACAAACCGTCCAATGTGAAGGCAGTGAATCTGCAAAGTGGGATTCTGAGGATCACGTGGGAACCTCTACCTTTGCATGTGCAGGGACTCCAGTGTCAGTTCCGTTACCACTCTCCTTCTGCCATCAAAGCTCAGCCAGAGTGGAAGGTGAGCGATTCTTTGACAGTTTAAAAGAGCAAAATGAGTTTGATTAAAGAATAGTTCCATGAATTACAATTCTTCTGAAAACCTACATAGTAAGTAAAACACATGTATGATGTCTGAATGTCTATGGAGGAACAATTTGTTCCGGGATGATTCGCCCCCCTCCCCCACCCACCCAGGAAACACGAGAAATGGAAATACTGTAGTTGTAATCTGTTTTCATTTTAAATATGGATTTTGTATGTTTGTTATTTAATAAATCAAAAAGAAAATGCCTTGTGAAGTTCTGACATATTGGTTTAAACTTTTGTGAACATTTTCAGGGAACAACCCTTTACATTTAATGTTAGTGTTTCGAAAAAAATATTTTCCAGAGTGCATTTCAATGGGCGTCAATGATACGTTCTCATTCTTCAGGGGCCAGCATAGGCTCTATTCCATATGAATAGTGGAGGAATACGATATATTGTTCATGAAACAGTACGTAAATACAGCACTGGTAGTCAACCAATACTACAAAATTTTTTCGCGATGACAGAGTCACGACAGCATTTACACTTATGAGAAGCTAGTGTAACAACATACCAGTTTGCAGTTCTGTCCTTCTTTACTGTAGGTCTTAAAACATAATGCTAATTTAACCAAGCTTTAAAAACCATCCTAATCCATTTTTGAATAAATTATCAGAAACAACCACCTTGTCAACTTGATGAACTTGAGGCATCAGGTTTCCATTGTAGAAATAACATGGCTTCCACATGGCCCTTTTTTTCTTTTCATTCAGTCAAGAATGAGTGAAGGTTGTGGTTGTGCTCTTGCACCATGATCTTTTCCCTTATCTGACCATTTCGTCTCATTAAATGCAGCTCAGTAATCCAGTGTGGGTACCGTCAGCGGAGATTCCGGTTCCAGACATGTGCCAGGTTTATGCGGTTCAGGTGAGCTGCAAACCCGCCAACCGCACTGGCTACTGGAGCGACTGGAGCGACTCGGTCTACTCTGTACCCCAAAACAGTCAAGGTAGCAATACACCAACACATGATTTTTATCACTTCCCTTGCACGAATTCACACTTTCCGAAATAATTATGAACCCATAGCAGCGTCACCTTTCCGCCCTTATATTTTTCCTGCAGCTCCAGAACATGGCCCTGATTTTTGGAGACTTCTTGAAAATGATCAGCTCACGAACTCGACAAATGTTACTCTTCTGATTACGGTACAAAGCATGTGACGAACATATCCAGTTCATAGTATTGCAAATAATGTGTTGATTTGCTGTTTGTAGCCTCTTCCAAAAATGAGCCGCTCCTACTGCATCGATGGATACATAGTCCAGCAGCAGACTTCAAATGGTATTGTGAAGAGGGAGAAGATTGAGCTCCTGTCCTCCTACAGCTTTGAGTGGAAGCAAGATCTCCAAAGTGTGACAGTGGAAGCCTACAACAGTCTGGGGAGTTCCAGAAAAAACATGATCATGACACTGGACAGAAGACCTAAACGTGAGTCATCAACCACAAGACGTTTATTCTTTATACCACATAATGGCCTTTCTGTACACAATTCAAGATGAATGTGTTCTATATTTGTTTATTTATTTTCAGTTCAGTGACTATCAGCCCTTTTCCCAAAATGTTAAATGACCTATTTGGGGAAAGTGCTGGCATTAGAGCTTTTTTTTTTTTTTTTTTTTTTTTTTTTTTTTTTTTAAATGTGCTTGAAAAATCAAGATCGGCTGGCTCGTGGAAGAGGAACAAGCACAGGGCTGAGGACCAATGAACTGGAATACAGTGCATTCCTGTTTTTTTTTTGTTTGTTTTTTTAATTGATGCCCCAACACATGTGCATTTAGTCATAAGCACAGTATTCTGATTCAATTACATTTGTTGGATTTTATTCATATTGCATCAAAAAACCCTGCTCTCATTCAAAAGTGTGGCGGAAGCGGACAACACGTCAATGACTTGCCGACTGCACATTATGCCCCCTTTTCAAATTAAACATGACAGGTGTGCACATCCACGTACTTAAACAAAGATTTGCTTGTGAACAGGTGGATAATGGCCTACAACTCAGTTGTGCCAAGCAACCCACCCACCAAATCATCTTCTGTAAAAACGAGGCATCCTTTTAAAAGGGCAATTAAAAGCCTTTCCAATGGTACCATATGTATGTGAACATTTTATAGTTGTGACACCACTGCTCTGTCTTGTGCGCACATCAGGCCGGAGCGTGCGTTCTTTCCGCGTGCTGCTTATCAACGGCACTTGTGTGTCTCTGCATTGGAGCCTCGTGGACAACAGCTCGACTCCACTCTTCATGGTGGTGCAGTGGGCACCACAGCGGCAAGATGGCTTTGATCTGAGCAAAGCTCACAGTGGGCGCACCTGGGCCAGGCTGCCCTCCACCGATTGTTCCGTCCACCTAACAGGTAATACAATTCACTCTCTGTGCTTCATTTTCTCAATATTAATGTTATAGAGGCTCAGTCGAACAAAGTGTTGTCAAATTTGATCTTTGGTTTCAGGTGATTTTTATGCATCTGAGGAGTACGGCTTCTACTTGTATCCTGTGTTTTCGGAGGGCGAGGGCGAGCCTGCCTTCACAATAGGTATGCAAGTCAATAAAAGCTCATCAAGTCATTGTATTGTTATCCCACGCAAAAAGTGGCAAAGCACTGCCACTTCAAAACTTCTGATGTGTCTGTCCCACATGATGTAGCCACCAGAGGAGACCCTTCTGCCTACATGACGTTGCTGATCATCGCCCTCCTCTCCATCGTCCTCTTCATCACCCTGGTCCTCTCCCAAAACCAGTAAGTGTAGCTTAGTGGCTTCATGGATGACATTTATATCGATTGACCAGGCACACTCATTTTTTTAGCTAATGTAAGAATGTTAATGGGAGTGCGATATATATCTCCGTATCCTTAAACCAGCTGTACTTTATTGTCAGGATGAAAAGGTTTGTGTGGAAGGATGTGCCCAACCCAAAAAAATGCTCCTGGGCAAAAGGACTCAACTTCAAGAAGGTACAACAATACCTGAAAACTTTGATTCATTCACTCTTTTCCACTCTCACACGTTGAACTGCCGCACCTTATTTTTTTATTGTGTGGAGTTTGCATGTTCTACCCGTTCCTGCGTGGGTTTTCTCCGGGTACTCCGGTTTCCTCCCACATTTCCAAAAACATGCACGGCAGGTTGATTGTACGCTCGAAATTGTCCCAAGGTGTGAGTGTAAGCGTGGGTGGTTGTTCGTCTCTGTGTGCCCTGCGATTGGCTGGCAACCGGTTCAGGGTGTCCCCTGCCTACTGCCCGAAGACGGCTGAGATAGGCTCCAGCACCCCCCACGTCCCTTGTGACGATAAAGCAGATCAGAAAATGGATGGATGGATGGATGGATGGATGGATGGATGGATGGATAAGTCCCTTGGCCCAATAATGGTTGAAAAACAGTAATTTGGAGAAATAGACCAGCATCCCAATCTTAATTGCGTTAATCTCTGCAGGCTGACACTTTCCACGAGCTCTTCCAGTCCTCAGATATCCTGCCAGCTTGGCCGCTTCTGCTACCCTCCGAGAACATTTCCAAAGTGGTCATCATGGAAAAGGCTAACATGTCAGTTCTGAGCGGAGCCTTGGTCCGCAGCCCACTTATAACCCCAACTCTCGACGCAGTGTCCTGTCCATTTATTGAAGTGGACCAAAACGTCATCCCGTCCTCAATTCTAGATTTGGATATTTTAACCAATCCCAGGCCACAGCTTGATGAGCTGCAGCTCATTGATCCCCCACCGAGCGTCCTGGAGAATTCAGCCCAGTCTTCAGTCGCATATGCCGCAGTGCTGCTTACCAACGCTAAGCAGGAGCTACAGTCCATCCATCTCTCGGACCGGGACGGCAGCGGCAGCAGCTCCAGCGATGAGGGCAATTTCTCTGCCGACAACTCGGACATTTCTGGCTCTTTCCCCGGTGGCCTGTGGGAGCTGGAGAGCTGCCATGACCGAGAGGTGGATGATCCACGTCGATCCTGCTCCTACAACTCAGTGGAAGAACTTTCTGAACCATCCGATCAAGAAGATGCAACAGAAGAAAAGGACTTGTACTATCTCAGCATGGACTATCAAGCGGAGAATGAGGAGGGTGAGGGAGAGGTCAAGCAGAAAGAAGAGCTGCTGAAAAGTGTTACTTTGAGCAGAGATGGCTGCTCAGTGGAGTCGCACCTTACGCCCACTGAGCTGGTTTCCACATCCACGTGCGACTTAGCGCCACTCTACATGCCCCAGTTCAGGACTGCACCGTACAGCAGGCAACTGCCAGATTGAAAAAGCTCATGTGGTTGGCGCAATGTTCCACATTAGATTTCACGTATTGTGAGCTGCATCATCACTAAAGACTTGGCAATCAGGTCCTGCGGACTTAAATTGACATTGAATGTCAAAAAGCTTCAAATGGTGTGTAACTCTAGAGTGATGTTCATCAATGCTGCTATTTCTTTGTTCAGTGTGAGGTACTGATCCTCGCAGTAGAGGTGTATTTTATTCTGATTGGGCCCAAGTTTTGGCTCAGCCAAAATGCTTCTCTGCAGTCATGTTACAATGGTCGCTGATGAGTGTATGTGAGCTCAAATTATGTCCTGAATAAAACATAATGAGATTTAAGAGAATATTTCAACAGGGAGAAAAGAATGCTGTCATTTTATAGATTCTGTGGCTGCAACTCTTGTCAGACAGCTTTTACGTGACAGATGTCATTTACGTTGTCATCTTTTGTAAATAAAACTCGCATATAATACGCAAAGGCCGAAAGAAGAGCTGTGTGAAAACATCTGCCTTCATAAATACAATCAGATCATGAACATTGTACTGATTAAGGGTCCAGTGAGCCTAAATTAGAAAAAAAAAAAAAAAAGAAAATACTGTAATATGGTGAATAACTGTTGTTGCACATTGATATATTTTGTCTATTTTTTCATGGTGAATATAAATGATTTGTAATTAAACTCATGCATGTCTTTATTAATAGCCCAGTGAGACCATCTGGCTTATTGCTTGATCCCGTCACCCTTCTGGAAATGAACATGGCTTTGCACAACAACAGGTTTGTTCAAGTTAGAATGTGTAAAAATGTTTCTGTTTAAAATGAGTCACGCTTAAAAGACTCCTGTCGCACAGTTGGTAGTTGAAAGACACAAACAACCCGCACTGAGACTACTCAACAACAGTAATATGTCGGCTCTCTGTGGTTGCAAATGATAAACGCAATGAGTTTGACTGCCAAGTATATGTGGCCTTATTGTATAATTATTTATGACGCATATGTACAATTAATGCACAATTATTCAATTACCAGTAGGCTACTACTGATCTCAACCCGACATATGTATACACTAAGCATACTGGTTATAGGAATCAATTTCTTACTTTCGTTTCCAAAATAAATAAATAAAACACTTTTTTCAGGGCACTGGACATGTTTGATTTTTGGACTAACAACACTAGGGTTTTTTTTTTGTAACCATCATTGTTTTTCATTAGGCTCTGCCTTCTTTATCTTTTATGATTGAAACATTTTTATCTTTGATATTTTTTGAAATACTGGAAGGTGACAGCAAAGTGAAAATTTCACTGTGCAGCACTTACCGTTGTGTTACTGTGGATCTGACAGTCTGAATCAACCTAATAATTCAGAGTACAACAAAGGTATTACTACTTTTGGAGGAATTTAGGAACGCAATTGGCACCTTGAAATTACACTCCGTCAGACTGGTGTAAAATATTCAAAGAAGAACTGTCCTCCATTCTGCTAAGAACTTTTTCCTGGATTAAAGGGGACGTGAAGTAAAAAAAAAAAAAAAAAAAACCTTTACAATAATATGTTCTATGCACTCTAAGTCTTAAGTGTCAAACTCTGGTCCTGTAGGGCTGCCATCCTGCATGTTTTCCATCCCTCCCTGTTGCAAAACACCCGATTCAAATGATCAGCTCATCAGCAACTCTGAGGAAACCTGATATTGATCCTGTCAATTTGAATCAGGTGTGTTGCAACAGGGAGAGATGGAAAACATGCAGGTCAGCGGCCCTACAGGACCAGAGTTTGACACCTAAGACTTAGAGTGCATAGAACATACTGTAAAGGCTTTTTTTTTTTTTTTTTACTTTCACACCAGCAGATTTGCAGTGCAGAAACAATTATTAGTTGCCAAAAGGTTCACAACTATTGTTTGACTGCTTCTATTCCGTCCAGGGACTAACCTTCAGAAACTAAAATGAACCATTTAAACCAAGATGGGCAACTGCTGGCCCACAGGTCATGTGTGGCCCGGGACTACAATCTGAGTGATTGATTAAAACAAAAACAAAATATTTAATATATTTTTTAATCTGACAGTCACCCACATATCAGTGGAAGGAAATACTTTGTTTTCTTAAGAAGAAACACAAGGACAACACATATAACCAAAACAGAAAATGCCCCAGAATTGAACCCTGTGGAACACCATAAGTCAGTGTGGCACAACCATGTGGTACAACCAAGGCAAACACAAAAAGTTCTGTCAACCAAATACGATCTAAAAATATTGCCCAATAATTTAATGCCCACCTGGGTCTGCAATCAAGCCAACAGAATACTGTTGTCCAATGTATTGAACACTGCATTTAACAAGACACATATAGTCTCCAGTGTCATTAGCCAACAGGATGTCATTAAAAATTCATGACAAGGCTGACTCTGTGCTACGCATCATCTTAAAACCTGACTGGCAAACCTCCATGATGTTATGTTCATCCAAGAAAGATATCAAATGCGTGTGCACCACTTTTCCCAAAAATATTTAGATAAAATGCAGCTTTGAAATAGTCCGAAAGTTTAACAGCACAGCTAGACCAAGGCCAGGTCTCTTCAGCAGGGGTTGCATCATATCATGTTTAAATTGTTGGAGAGTTATCAAAGATAGAGATAAAAAATGAGCCTACACGTCAGAACCCTTTTGTTTTCTTTTTGGCTCTCTATCACAATGGTTTGAAGGGGAGAATAATTGTGCTTAAAAAGATCTGCCTTTCCAAAAACGTGCATCTCATTGACAGATGCGCTTTCTTATGAACCAGGGGTGAAAAAGGTCAAATGTGTGAAGATGGCACATTGTGCTTTTGTGCCGAGAAAGCGCAACCATCAAGCACATTCTTTGACGAATGTCCTGGTCAAAAATGCTGAAAACAGTCACATGCATTGGGTCCACATGAAATAACAACACCATGTGACAAAATAAAAGACAAAAACAAAACAAAATAGAAAAAGCTCAGCTCTTGAAGAGCACTTGCCAACGGCTGCCATCTACGGCGCCATCTTCGATACTCTTATCATTTGATCATTTGGACAATCAGACACTAGCGGAGTTGCATACTGATATTCATCTGTGGCATATTTCTATGTATCATGCTGTATCTCTCCAACGTGTTAATTTGTTTGTTTTCATGTTGTGTTGTTATCTGTGGAGGTTGAAAAAAGTAATGGTTCGATTTTGGCAAATTTAGGAGTACAGTAGAACGTTGTTATTTTCATCAAAACTGTACGTAAGTAAAGTACAGATTGCACATTATTACTTGCCACCACCCTGCAAAGGAAGTTCTTGTGCGTTTTCATATTTTGGCCACCAGGAGGCAGAATAGTCGCAATCTTTTGACTCAGATGGCTGAGTGGAAGTTAGAAGCTCACTGACTTGGCGCACTCGTGTTCACCATAGAAGGACATGATGGTACAAAGAGCAACCGGGTCATCTGGCAACGACAGCGCAAATTATGCCACGCTACGTTCAGTTATGGTTATGGAAAGAAAGCATCAGTGAGATGTTGGGTTTGTTGTCATTACGCAGGCAGCCATGGAACTGGAATACTTTCCTGATCTGCCTTGGAAAGAATGCCATGGAGTCTAAATGTTTCCAATCAAGGAGAAAATGTGTCAATTTAATGTCGATGGGTGGAAAAAAAAATCCAAATGCATGCCTTGTCTGGACAAGTGTTTGGACTAGAGTCTGGACAGCGCGTGATACTGTAGTTTGCTTCCAAAGAATCCAGCATGAATAAAGCCTGCTGGAGTTTTCATTTTCATAAATCATTCTATGAAGATTACTTGATTAGTTAACCTCCAAAAATAGTTTTGCTTAGAAATGATCCAACCTGAAAGAAAATTGGCTTTTTCCTTTGTTTTAGCAAGACCACCGTCTGTACTTTTAAAAATGAAACATTTTTAGCCGCTTACATCATTGAAATGTGACACAGAACCTGCATTTGAATGAATAGGATTGTCACGTAGAGTGTTAAAAAATTAATAGAATTCAAAGTTGTGAAAGCAACAATTAAATTTATGCTTTGCGTGGCAATGGTGAAATAAAAAGTCAGTGAAGAGAAGAAATAAAGAATCTGCGTGATACAGGAAAAACAAGCATGACGTAAAAACACAATGCAAAGGACTTGGCTCCGTTTGGCAGTGTGACATGCAAATTCTCGGTTGGTAAAGACATTGTTGAAAAACATACATGATACATAATTACATGTGCATGTGCATTTCAGAGCACATACAGACTTTCATTCATTCATTGATTTTCCGATCCGCTTTATCCTCATAAGGGTCGCGGGGGTTGGTGGAGCCTATGCCAGCTGTCTTCGGGCAGTAGGCGGGGGACACCAGCCAATCGCAGGGCACAAAGAGACGAACAACCATCCGGGCTCACACTCACACCTTGGGACAATTAGAGTGTTCAATCAGTCTGCCATGCATGTTTTTGGAATGTGGGAGGAAACCGGAGTACCCGGAGAAAACCCACGCAGGCCCGGGGAGAACATGCAAACTCCACACAGGGAGGCCGGAGCTGCGATTGAACCCGGTACCTCTGCACTGCGAGGTCGACGTGCTAACCACTGGATCACTGGGCTGCCACATACAGACTTGATAAGTGAATTCAAATGGCAACATTGCACAAAATAAGGCCACCCCCAGGAAGAAGAAAATATATTGTCCCTCCAACTTCACCCCCTCCCCAAATAGAAGATAATATTTTTCTCCCTTCTCAACTCAAAAAAGGAAATACACTTAAAATCAGATGAATAACTTTATTAACATTGTTGATGCTCCCTGCACACACTCTGACTATGAGAACGCCACTGCTTCATACTCTAACAAGCACCTTGCAGTTCTCTGCTCGTGCGGAAAGGTACCTTTCTTTGAACACTATTCAAAAATGGCAAAAAGCAATGAAAAAAAGCTGTGATTTGGGCCATTAGAATCGCTGCAAGGATCATGTTTATTTTTTTATTTAATCTATTTTAAACACGCCTAGCCTGTCATTTGCTACTCAATACAGTGACTGCCCTCTGCTGGGACACACCAGTTAAGCTTAGTTAAGTGCATAATGACATTTGGCTGCATGTGTGCACTGTACTTGGACTCAGAGAGCGCGTGTTCAGAGAATGGAGGGGGTGGGGGGCTTGCAAAACCGAGGAGCGACACCGGGACGTTAGGAAAAGACAGATAGGACCTTTCTTCAGTTAGGGTTCAAGAGACTAAATCCGGCTGTTGTGCGAGGCAAAGCACCTCTGAATCGCAGTGCGTTATTTAGTGCCAACACCACGCCATGTAATGAAATGTCTTTATAGCATTTCATGTAATACAGTATGTTGCATTATTTAGTTGCTGAGAGACATGTTTCTGTAAATCGCTAGTTTTGTAACCCGTTACTCCCAACACAGGCTGCACAAATAGCCTGAATAACACTTGATTTGGCCACACAACGTAAGTGAAGTGATGCGAAGGCAGCGCTACACAATCATTTGCCAATTTCACATTCCACCATATTCAACACCAACACAATGTGGAAACACAGTGGCACGATGGTCGACTAGTGAGCACGTCGGCCTGACAGTGCCGAGGTCATGGGAGACATTTAGTTGTGTTGTTACTCCAAGTGCCTCTTGGCCCCTTGTCAGGACATTCATCTAACAAACGACCAATTAAGTCCAATTTCTGTTTATATCACACTTTTTCCTCTACAGAAAGACGGTTATAATACTCAAACGACATTTCATTGCATTTTGAAATATACATAGTGACAAATTAAATG